TTTTGAATCAACTAGAAACAGAAAAGTGAATTTTCCGTACGAATATTCTGCCAAGTGGCAGGCGAGGGCGATGTCGAAACATAATGTACGAGATGCGATTCTAAGTTAAATGCAGATACGAATTTCCCATTTCAACATAATGCAATATTTTTTATATTAAGTTAAAGACATTTCGGGATCCCGACAACCGAAAACGTTAACTTAATATTTCTTAGCGCAATTCAAATCAAAATTATGCATTTTCTCGCACCAAATTGCACAAATTGCGCGCCATAAAAATTTAAGGTACATACCTAAATACAATCATATATATGTACACATGTATGTATGTTCCATATAAAATGTTTCAATTTGGAAATAGAATAAATTACGCGTTGCAAAATGTAAATACTGTCCTACATTTGCGCAGCAACCGTTTGAAATTTCGCAAAATCGCATGACTTTTTTCATCAAGCGCACGGTAATTTACATAGCAATACATACAGATAGACATGCACGTAAATAAATGCCACAAATTTGTTTTTAAGTGAAAAATTAGCATACGCTTGAAAATCAGAAAAAGTTCGCATGCCCCCAGAAGTCGGCGCTTGTTTATCTCTTGGAGAAATATCTATACATTTTGCTTACATATATGTTTGGTTATTTGAATGCTTATATGCATGCGTGTACATATGTATTCTTAGATGCATATATGTATGTAAGCACGTAGCAACTATTCAGCAACCATGTGAGCGCTGGCACATCACCACTAATCATAAACAAAGGATGCTCTAGAAGTCTATGCTAACACATACCGATCGTGGCATACATATCTACGCCGTTATTGTATCTGAGCAAGCTTTTAAGTAGCAGCATCTCACTATTATCTCATTTGTATATTCAAATGTCCATTTATTAGAAGAAATTAAATTCTAAATTAATGCTTGACGTGCGCGTCGCAATGAATTGAATGGAATTCCGAAACTAGTTTATACTACATTCATATAAATAAGGAAATTCTAATATAATTATTTAAATTCTATTTTTGTATTTTTTGGTATTTTTTCGTATTTTATTTTGTTTTTTGTTTTTTTGTAAATTTTTATTTTTGTTTTGTATTTTTGTTATGTCATGTTGGCTACCGTTTTTGGCTGCTCAGGCACATGCATATAATTGCACAGACACACACACGAACATCTATAGGAAACCGTCTATTGTCGGTTTGGTCATCGCTTATTACATTATTATTTTATATACATATGCATATATAGCACATTATTGTTGTTGTTTTGATTACGTTCCAATATTCTCGCGTACACTGGCACAATCACTTCGGTATGCATATTAAGCAGCAGCGATCGAGCGACGACAGATCACACTCGAGCAAACGGGACAAGTGGCATACAAGTCTAGTTACAGGCGAATATCTAGCTACGCGTATACAAACGTATACACATACACAAAAGCTTATGTACGAGCTTGTAGTAGTCCAAACAGTGAACCACCGATCGCCCAGCGCCAAGGTAATCACCATTAAAATTAGCTCACACACAAAGAGAATAACAAATATAATTACAAATGTACATGCAGTATGTCAGATTATAAGTTATTGCCGTTACTATTGTTTTTATTGCTATTGGTTTGATTTCAACTACTGCCACTGCTTTTTATTATATACTTTTTATGTTTATTTATTTTTTATAGTTTTTTTTTTATTGTTTTCCATGAAAGGTTGTCATAATTGCAATCAGTCAACCTCATCGCACTGTCTCCACGGCGCTGTCAGTATGCTGTCTGTCAAGTACTCATTGCTATTTAAATAACTGCATATTCGGCTCGTCGTTTGGGCCGCGCACCTGGGCGCGGTGACAGCATGCGCCCAATGCTTGTTTTGTTTTTGTTGCATTGGCAAAACCGTAAATTTTGAAGGTGTGCTGATTTATATTATGTCATATATATAGAAATCAATGGTTTGCAAATGTAAGTACAATACACGAGCGCGATAATAGTAGCAGTTGATATTTTTTGGAATATAGCATCCGAAAGAGAGTCCTGAACTGGGTTTAAAGTATCTTCTGGTTAGGTTCAACCCTCTTGGGTGTTGAGCTGAAGATTTTGTGAGATCTGATATTTAGTGTGCGTTGGACAGCTTTTTGTTTAGAGCAGAGTCTGCGAGTTTTGACTATGAGATTTACAAAAAAATATTGTAAAGGAGCTTTTTAGGGAGAATACTTCATATGAAATTAACAAAAAATATTCGATTTCAACACAAATAATTGGCGTTTTAAAATTGTCGCGCAGTTGATTAGACTATCAGCTTATCTCTTAACGCTTTTTTCTCAGAATAGCATCTCCCAAATTTGTATGATAACTCGGATACTACTATTATTTTGTGCATGTTCTGTATACATAGGCGCATATAGCCTCCATGCAATGAACTACCAGTTTTTAATTTTATCAAAAATCGAAATTTGGCCGACCAAATGACCAACATTTTGGGTAAAGTTCATTTTTTCATGTTGTAAACGGCGCCATTTTGTCTATTTTTGATTTTTTCCCAATCGTAGATACGAGCAATATCTTCAAGGAGCGACTTTTTTTTTAGATATATGTATAGTGGAAAAAATTACACAAAACTATTATTAGAAAATACAGTAGTGGCTTAAGAACTATATAGGTTTGACCCATCACATTTTGATCTTCTCTAAGATGTTTATTTAAGAAAGGTCAGAATGTAAATAAGCGCCCCAAAATGTCTACCAAAAACACAGAAATAAAAGTCAATTAATAGTATTATTTATAAGAAACACATTATGAAAGCGAAAGGTTATTGCTTAAATTTCATATATTTCATATCCTTTCTCAATCGTTTCGTTTTTTTTTTAAGTTGGTATCAGTGACATCCGTGCCAAATGTTACATAAAATATCCCTACTGTTTGGCTTGTATTTCTGCAAAGTGCATTCGGCGATTTTTACGATGAGTGGAATTATTCCACAAAGAAGTTCCATTAAATTTAGTGTGAAACAATCACAATGTTGGAAAAGGTCTTCGGTGGAATTGTTTGCCGTGAGCAAGCGTGTTAGATTAGTACAAATTATTCGAAAAGGTAGTGAACGCATTGATGACAAACCACGTTCAGGACGGTCACCAACATCAACTGATGATCAACGCGTTAATAAAATAAATGAATTGATGCTTGAGAATCGACGATTAACAAAGAGTCAATGATCTTACTGGCATCGCTGGAATATCGGAATGAAAACCATTTTGAAATATCATTTATACCTAAGAAAAGTGAAAGCACGATTTGTTCCAAAATCAGTAAATTTTTTGGAAAGCAGCGTGGAGCTAACGTCTGTGAAACAATGCTTTCCGACTATAAGGATGTCATAATCTATGCTTACGATCCGGAAACAGACGATCAATCGGCCGAATATCGTGAGTCGAAGCCGTGGATATTTAACTGTATTATTATAAAATTTATCTTGATGCAGAAAGAAATGAAAATTAAATTAAAAATTAACTCCAAGAATTTAAATTTTTTGTGTTCAGCATCCCAGCATCCGTTAAATTATCGAATCCGCTTAAATAACTAACATTTTTGGGCTTTGTATTCGCTTCGAAAGACTTAAGCGGACTTTTTTAAGTACCGCAAAAAGCTGTGATTTTTCCTGACGCATTAAAGCGGGTTCTACTGTATTTGACATCACAATCGCCAGAAATGATCATAAATTCTACCTGCACTAACTTTTTATGCAGCACACTGTAGTACCTTTTATAATCTACATGCTTGCGTACAAATAACTAGGCAAATGCGTATTGCACTGTCATTTCTTTGTAAATAAAAATAAATTGCATGTATGTATATACATATATATGTATGTGAACTCGTGTTGCTAAGTCTGCGCGCATTGCGTTTGTTATGGGTGATAATCCATTTGATTAGCGCTTAGTGTACTATCTGCTCACCAGCGCTTTTGAATTTTATGTTTTCTATTTATTATTGTTGTTGTCAATGTTACTACTACTATCACTGCATATGTTGTTGTTATGGGTGCGTAAATAGTTGCACCATCGTTGACCGTTTGAATTGCGTGAATAAATGCTGAAAGTCATTCGAACGCGTGCCCTGTAGGGTGGCGCCGATGGGCGGTGTAGATTTCACTTTTTGACTTTGCTTTGCTTCCAAACTAAGTAAATACCTGTTGCGCTTATCATCGCTGTACTTGACACTTTGTTGTCGACTGGACAAAACAAAACAAAACACACACAAACAACACAGCGCAAGTTCAGTTGAGCGCTCAAACAGAAATGCTAATCAATTCGCACACATACACACACAGCGAAATAGCAGCAAACAATCACACAAACACACGAAGGCGCGCTCATTTACAAACCTAAAAACCAACACATTCACACATTTCTTCGACCGTTTTCAGTATTTTCTCACTTATCTCACTAATTAATATTTTGTGTTTTAATTTTTTGCAATTATTCTAACCCTGTCTGTGTCTAATTATTGTTAACTAACAACGTAAAACGCGAAAGAGGCAAAATATAATGATAAAAACTAAAAATATTTTTAATCACTTACGTCGAGAACCTTTAGTGGCTATAGTACAACTTGTTGTTGTTGCCGTCGACAGCTGATTTCTTACTATAACTTTTTTTTCTTGTTTTTGTGTTGGGTTTTTGTATTTGCTTTTATTTATTTATAATTTAACTTTATTTTGTTTTTGCAATTTTCGCATTACAACACACACGAACGATCGTAAACGAGATGCGTTCATCGGCAGAGACAGCGACAGCGACGCACAACAACACATCAACAGAGACCCTCTGGTAATCAACGCGACTTGACTTGACGAAACTTATAATATAACTGAAAAAGTATTTGCTGCGGTCGCTGAAGTTCAGAGGGGCTCGAAACAGCCAAACATCTAACCAAGCAACCAACCAAACAGCCGACCAACGAGCCAACCCAACAGCCACTCAGTCAGCGTCAGCCGTTTGGCTAGCAAGCAGGCGAACAGGCAGTGTCGCTCGCTTAGTCAGAAAACAGCGCTACCACCATCACTCAACAGACCGCTGTAGTCTGTAGTCGTCGGTGACGTCGGCAGATGAAACGAACGACGACTGTATCATATCAGTGCTCACGAACTTAGGCGCGCTGCTGGGCTAAGCGAATCTCCAGAACCACCACCGGCCACCATACTTTCAACGCGTTGGCTGATCAAAGTGTGGATTTGAACTTAGAATCAACAGGCCATACAGTGGGTGGAAAAGAATAATTTCATACATTTTTTTTATCGGCATGGTGCTGCGTTGACTTTAAGGGATTCTCATGTGTATATAAAAATGACAAGTAAGTAAAAACTACGTTCTTCAGGTGCTTTTGAACCACTGGATACGCATTTTTTTTGGAGGTACTGTATAAAGTCAATCATAACATAAAAAGATCATTTTGTCTCTTGAGGATATTATGTCTAAAGACCTAATAAAGTCCTCAGATGGTACTCTAACATTTTGAAGATCTTTGAAAAGACCTTTAACTTTGATTGCATTTTCGGGCAGCGCTAATAAGTACGAAGTTTTATCGGGAATTATAGCTCAATTACTCTTTAATACATGTATAAAGCTGAATATGAAGAGCAATTAAAGTCCTCAGATAGTTCATTCAGAATCCTTGAAGGGACTTTTAGCTTGTGCTGTATTTTTTGGCAGCACTACTAAATATGAACTTCTTCGGCGGATCGGAAACCCTTATTTACTCTCGTGGGCCAAACAGCAAATCATTTTTGGAATTCACTATTCAAGTTAATCACATATTTATTGCTTTCGGAACCCGGAAAAGTTTCTAAAAACCTTCAATATATTTTATCAGGACTTTGGAGCGATCTTTATTATATCACCTATATATGTTATTAAAGTCGCATGTGAGTGCCGAAGACACAAATTCTGATATTCAGCGGATATTTGGTTCAATCCAGCACCACTGTAGGAATTATTCGCGTATTTTTGTGCTTTCAACAATAAAAATAATAACAAACAAAATAATAACAAACTCACAAGTGATCGGAGCGAGAACGCTTTGCCGCTGATTCACTAACCGGCTGGTCGGTCGGTTGTATATGAATGAGTATATCTGTCTGGTCGGACAGATAGATGGATGAACGGTTGGTTGGTTGGCTTGTTGACTGGGAGGCTGGCGAATTTAGGGTTTCGACTAAGCACTGACAGAAAACAAAAACAAAGTGTTCGCATTGACTGCTCAGCCGCGTCGCCAGAGAATATTTTATGTTATCGTTGTGTTTGCGGGTATGTAGGGTAAAAAAATCGTTTGCGACAAAATCAGAGGGCAAAATAAAACAATTTTCACATATTTTGTAAGTAGGTATGTGTATATGTGAGGTTATTGTATGCTTTGGTTCGAGAGCTACATATGGCAGTTTACTTTAGAGAGCGGCTTCGGCTTTGATCTTAATTTTTTAAATGAACAAATGATGTTACAGCGTAGTATGGGTCAGTGGTGAAACATGGGCAGGTAAAACAACAAGTGCGCGGGTTAAATGAAATTCAGAAAATCTAATAAAATTAATGAATACTGAAATGATTGGTATTTACAGTAATTATAAATTGACAATGAATAGTATTTAAATGCAAGCTTGACTTGACCTGTGGTTGGAAAATAAGTTAAGTAAGTGAATCCAAGGTCGGTCGGAATGAAGTTCGACCGGACGGACAGACAGCCTTACATTCTATATTTGAGAGCTAGGTGGAGCTATAAAAAAAAAAAAAAAAAAAAAAAAAAAAAAAAAAAAAAAAAAAAAAAAAAAAAAAAAAAAAAAAAAAAAAAACAAAAAAAAAAAAAAAACCACAAAAGTTTTTCATTTTTATCTAAGCTAAAATTTCCGAACAATATCTTAAAAACTGAGTGACTACTTCGATGGAGGGTCGGAGAGAAAAGCAAGATATGATAAATTCGGCTCCAGTCGTCACTCTGACCATTTATACTTTATATGGACCACAACATTTCCTTATGGCTGTTCCAAATTTCGTGCCAAACATAATTCTGTTCAGTATATAAATTTTTAATTTTCAAACAGATTTTACACTTATCTTCGTAGATAAAAGAATCTACTAAATGAAATTACTTTATTTATTAACCAAAAAAATAAAAAAATTAAGCCAAAGTTATTTAAAATTGAGCTTTTTGTTCGAACTGTATAGTTTTCATGTTACTTTGTGCTATGTTCTGTATACCTTTCTTCATATCATCCACTTTATTCCCAATACACTGCTACTTATCATTCTACTGCCTTATCGATCTGGCAAATGCCTGAGAATAGGAGTAAATTCACTGGAAGACTGCAGTTATCTACCATAATATTCTTGTAATTACAGACATAATCGTTTCTCAGAAGTACTGTCTTAATGTTTTGGTGTCTCAATTAATTTAAAACAAAATTGTGTTCCTAAAAAGGAAAACAAAAAAATCAAAAAAGAATCATCTCTGGATAATATAAAAATAACATTAAAAGTACTCAGCTGACTTCATAAGTTCTCTTAAAATTTAAAATGGGACGAAAGAGCAAAGCAAGGGCAAAAGGCAAACAAATCGCATCTGCCAGGGAAAGACAGATTGCCCAAAGGTCAAGGCTACTTATGCAAGGCCATGTTACAGAACTCGTTATCAGACACCATTCGCATGATTTAAATTCGGAAGGCCCGTCAACAAGTCGCACTATTCGAAAACCTAAGCGTAAGTGAGCACAAATATTTAATTTATTGTGTATTTTGATATTTACTGCAATTTATTAATACGTAAAGAGTTCATGTTTAATCAAATAATCCAGATTTTGTTTCAAATTACATGCAATTTTATTTTTATATTATATGAGTAAAAATTTGTGACTTTTGATTTATCTATTATTATTTATTATCAATACTGAATACTTGCACACTTCTTTCAATCTACTCTTGACTATTTTTTTTTTTAGCTACTGGGATGGGATTCTTTTATCTAGACCTTAAAGGCGCATTCGCAGACGCCTTTTATAGCGACAACACAGTGAATGTCCCGAAGTTAGGGAATATTTTCAAGGCGGAGAATTTTGAAGCAAACGTAGAACCCATTCCGAAAATTGGCAACAACACCAAAACTGATATAGAGGAAACGTTAATTATTTTGAAAGTCTGCCAACTGCGTGCACAAATTGTAAAAATAGAAGAAGAAAAAAAAATTAGATTAGCTGGAAATGCTGTAAGCCCACACACACGCGCTAAGCTTTCGAAATTAGATTATGTACAGGAAGGCATACGAAGAGGTAAGTTAATTAATATGGATACTGGAATATATAGTCAAATCTTCATTTATACAGGGTTTGTCCGGAAAGTAATAGGGCTGAGTCGATTTAAAAAAATTTATTGAACCAATCGTTACAATTGTTTAAAAACTTTCAAAATAGACTCCTTCTGTCTCGATGAAGCGCTGCCAGCGCAATTTCCAAGCGTTGAAGGCGTCACGGAAGGCATTCCACGGAATAGCATTGAGAGCCTAGCTGAATGCTGCTTGGATCCCCTCTGTTGTCTCAAATTGCTTTCCTTTCATCGGCCTTTTCAGGCAAGAAACCAAAGTCTGGGTTGTAGGGCGGCTGCGGAAGCGTTGGGATGTCGGTCTCGGTTGGGTAGCTGTTCACAAGAAAGGCGGTATGAGCCAGTGCGTGTCGGACCTGATTGACCATTCGTTTGAGCCTCTTGAGGACTTCTACGTAAAACTTGGCATTGACGGTTTATCTTGGAGGAACAAATACATCGTGGACGCTAGCCTTTCATGTAAAAAATACAATGAGCATCGTTTTCACTTTGGATTTGCTCATGCTTTCCTTTTTTGGGCGAGTTATTTTTGATTTTTCGATTCAAGCGGTTCCCATGAAATCACACAAACATATTTTAACTTCGGATCCAGTTTGACTTATTTTTAAAATTTTTGTGTTTCGCCAGTTACCTTCATAAACGGACAGCTGTGAGATATTTTTTGGCTTCACTACTCATAATATTGAGTAATCGAAAAAGTCTTTTCGTCTCATTTTTGAACAGCACTATATGATATGACACAATGTGATTCGTAGCTTTGGAGATATACGACTGCAACGACATCTGTTGACAAAAGAGAAAAGACTTTTTCTACTACCTAATATTTAGATAATAAAACCTAAGATCCCAAAACCTTTTTAATTTATGTATATACGTTTTTAAATTTATTTACACAATTTATATTTAATATCTTTTAAACAGACATCCGTACAATGAGAGCGCAACTCAGGAGTATGCGCCAAACCGGCTTAGAACAGCTAAGTGGCAGCGAAAAGAATTCGGATTGCTTCGTAATTGTAGATGAACATGGTGAAAACATATCGGAAGGTAAAATTTGAATTTATACTAAAATCAAATAAAATAAATTGGCGAACAGATAAAATGCTCATTGTAAACTAAAACTGAATAATTGTGTTAGACCATGAACCCAAACTAACTTGCAGTAACTGTGCACTGTCTTTATAAAATAATTTTTTTTTTAATAATTTCAGAAGGGGCAGCTGTGAAATTCAGGGAGCCCAACAAAATGCACGAACTAATTAAAAGGGAGTTTAGAGCAGCTTTTTATGAGAACATGGCTGCCCATCTGGAGGGTGTTTACCCATGGCAAGGCGTCGGCGCGAAAATGGTAAATTGTTCGTCGTCACAACGTGTAGTTGAGGACCATGCTGATATATTGGCGAGAGCTATAAAAGTAATAGAATCGCGTATATTGGACTGTGACAACGGCAAAGCGGTCAACTTGAAAGATGAAAAAGAAAATTATTACCCACAATTGGATGGTCTTTATCCAAGTGAGAAATTCCAAAATTTGCTATATATTTTTCAATATTTTGTTTGTTTAAATATTTTTTCCAGCTTCCTCTACTAGATGCGAAAATATTGAAGATTTGGACGAAAGCTTTTTCTTAGACTCTCCAACTTCTTTAAGAGATAGTTGCATTATCATAAATTCAGACGGTGAAAAGATGTGCAAACAGGAGTTTGAGAAATTTTTTACAAGAGAGTCATGATAGGCCATATTGAGTACGCAATTTATTGCGAAGTCAACATTAAGTCGATAAGAGACCGGTTAATTTACAAATAACAATGTTGATTAAAAAATTCTGAATGACACAAATGTGAAAATTATATTTAAATGTTCTAAAAATAGAAGATACTATATTGCCAATTTTTAAATAAACGAGAGATTTATGTGTGGTTTTAATGGTGCTTACGCGTACTAGTCTCTTAGTTTTTGAGATATCGATTTCAAATTTTTTCACATGTTCCTTTCTTTCCGAGAAGCTGTTCATTTGTCGGAACCAATGATTTCGGACTGATCTATCAAAATCAAACGAAGGGTCAATCGGGACCGACAAGACACCGCAGCCGATTGGGAGTTGCACCACGACAACACCGTCTTTCTTGTAAACAGCTACCTGACCAAGGCCGACATCCCAACGCTTCCGCCCTACAACCAGATGTAGCCCTTCCGGACCTTTTTTCCTTGCCTGAAAAGGCCGATGAAAGGAAAGCTACTTAAGACGACAGAGGGGATCCAAGCAGCATTTACTTAAGTTCTCAATGCTATTCCGGAGAATGCCTTCCGTGACGCCTTCGATACTTGGAAATCGCGCTGGCGGCGCTTCATCGAGACAGAAGGAGTCTATTTTGAAAGTTTTTAAGGAATTGTAACGAAAAATTTTTTTTACCAACTCAGTCATGTTACTTTCCGGACAAACCCTGTACTTACGCGAACTAGTCGCTTGGTTTTTAGATATCGATTTCAAATTTTACACACATTCTTCTCACGGATCATTATAGTATAAAGCTGTCATTAAACTGAACAATCGGATCTTTTGTCATTGATGGATTTAAATAATTTCAGTTACAGAGAAACATCCAAAAAAAAAAAAACAAAAAAAAGCATAGTTTTGTTTCTTATATATTTCACATATTTCTGTTCCGTCATTTATTTGCTCATCTGACAGTGAAGGCACGTCATTGAAATTATAGTTTGCAGTTTGCCAGTTCTACAAATGATCAGCTGTATATACTCACATGACTATTTAAGTTTATAGATATGCATATATGTATGTACATATATGGGCATTATTTCTTACATGTGTGTTTGGAATTGGAGCAAATAGAAAGCATGCAGGCACAACAACAACGGCAGTAAAAAATACTCCTATTCAGCTAAGCTTAACAATAAACCCATTCTGCTGCGTTTAACTTCTGCTAATAATTACAAAGCGCTTTATTAATAAAAGATCACTTACGTTTACGTATGTATGTATGTTGAAATATGTGTATGTACGAGTTTATAATATATAATACAACTAATACTATAAAGTAGTAGCCGCTGGTGATAGTTGATGAATGTTGGCATTTCCGCAGAATTTTGTAAAATCGTTTAATACAGAGCTAGAAGTGACTGAAGAAAGAAGAAGAAGAAGAAAATGTAGGACAGAAATCGATATAAACTTACATTCATAACTGCATGTACATATGTATGTATTTTTATACAGAAACTGCACTCACATACAATTTGAACTACTTATACTATATCAAAGAAGAAGCAGTTCATTGTTATGCCGAATCAAATACATAGTTTTGATAAATCAATGATTCCGACTAAAAATGTGCCAAAGAGGCAAATTTTCAAATATTCAAAGAAGCTTGTGTCTGGTCATAACTGGGGTTATAACCAACACACACTTTTTTCTCTCTAGTTTTGAGGTTCTGAAGCTGAACTCCATGGCCAAGAAGTGCACTACGTGATACTGTCAGTGGTGAATTCAAAGACGAGACAACCTGCGATATTGCAATATGTGAAGTGAGAAGTGTTGTATAACTTGGTAGACCTTTGAATTAATGTTTAATACTTCCAAGAGGGATTTTCTGAAAATGGCTTGAACACGTCAGGCTGAGTCAGAAAGTAAAATGGTCGGGATTGCGTGGTTCGAAAACTGTTCGAGAATGTGTTCTCAAGAATCGCCTTATAATACGGAAAATCGCTCTGACCATTTAAGATTTATGTCAAGACTTATTCGAGATGATCCCTAAATGAAAGCCTACCGTCGATTAATTAGTCATCTTCTGACAACGCGCTAGAAATAAATTAGCTTCAACAGATTCAAGAGGTTTCTTCGGTATAAGTATACTTTTACAAATGAAAAAATGTTCACTGTTAAACATGTTTTAATATAAAAAGAGACAATGTCTTTGCAAAATTCTGCTCCAGGCTTGAAAGCAATATTCCTGGTTTCATAACAGCTGATAATAATCTATTTTGAAGTCTAGATTTGAATTCATTGGACTACAGTTTGAGCTCAGAGATAGAGAGTATGCCCTGTTAGATGCTCTACAGAAATTTAGAGAAGATTCCTTGGTTTAAACAGCACTGTTGAGACCAATAAAACTGTGCGTGCTGTTATTGAATGTCGAATCGGTTAAGGCTTATTATAAAGCAAAAGGTTACAATTTCGAATAAAACATTGTACATCGCTCATTTAATGCATGCATTATTAAATAAAATTAACATTATTAATAAATATATTATAGTATCATTTTTGTAACGGCATGAACTTGTAACCGAACTTATGGCAGGACCTAGAATTGGAACTTTTGCCAAAAAAGCTTGCCGTTTGCACTTTCAAGAAATCTTATCGCAGTAAATAAATTTCTAACGCTTTCTATTTATTTGGTGTAACTAAATTTAGGTAACTTACCACTAATGCTGCGTACTACTGCTGTGTTTGTTGCTTTTGTTTTCTTAGTTGTAATTTTTTCATTAAAACTGCCGCACCTGCTGCAACGCTCAGCTGGCTGATTGCTACGAGGGGCATGAGTTTGATTACAAATCAAAAAATATGTCATGAAAATAAATGAACGTAAAATAAATTTCGTAATTCTAGAACTTTAGAATTCTAAAATTAAAAACAATATATTTTAAAAAATCAAATTATGTTATATATTTTGTAAAAAATTAATTATTTTGTATAACTAAAAAGTGTAAATTCACACAATTAATAACCGAAAGCTTTTATGAGTTTTTTAATAAATATTGATTTGATGCAGTACTATGAAATATGTTCCACAATAATTCTTCCAAGAACGATTTCTTATCGCCTACTTTACCAGCTGAGCGCCAAAATGAGCGAACTGCGCGCGGGTGTTGCACGTATGAGTTGCACCAATTGTTTATCGTCGAGCTGCGTTTTTTCATCCTGCAAGCGCTTGTGATACAATCATGTTATTATTGTTTTATATTTTTAACTGTTCTACAAATTTCACCTTAAGACTCTCCGCTTTAGCTGACTTTGAGATGCGAAATTTCAGCATTACAGTTTATTTTTACAGTTACTGTCTCACTAAACTAAACGCGTTGTGTTTCAAAAAAGAACTGATCGCATTTAACTCGCTCTTTCTATTTCCATTTTTGGTGGGCGTAAACTCAATTTGAAATCATCGCAAGTTCTATTTACAACAGTCTAAACAAAATCGCATATCGGGTGTCATTCACTTACGCACAAATTTAGCCGAATGCGATAAGATTGAAAAATTATCACCAAAAACCAATAAAAAATATACCAGTGGCAGATCAAGGGAGGGATCAACTTGTTTTTGCAATTTGAATGATATAAACTTTTGATTTGGAAACTAATTATTGAATATTTAAATAACATGAAAATTTTGAAAGTACTAGGCTCCGGGTGTTCCCGACCACAATTGTTTCTAGAATGAGCTCAATTGAAGAACAAAGCAAATTTTTTTTAACGTTATCTTTGGTTCGGTCCATAAAGTCGAATATCACTTTTTCATATACATACATACATATATACTTTACTCGAGCGATCTCCATCGTAGAAAAAAGTTAATTTCCTCAAACTTTAGTTCGAAAAAGCAAATCATAGAACGATCGCTGAAATTTACCCTATTGAGTCGAATATCTTTCGTTTATTTCTATATATTTTCCTCTTATATTATACATAAATATTTCTTTATACACTATTATCCTTAACTCCAAATATTTGTATATAAAACTAACTAAAATATGCGATGATGAATTCATCTACTAAGTTACAGCTGAGAACACTAAATTTTGTAAAGTCTTCCATTAGTTTGTGTTGGCATGTACATTTTTATCTGCCTACTTCGGACATAAGCCACTTTCGTTAAACACTTGGCCGCAAGTCTCGTCGACGCGATCCCAAATCAACGAACCGAACCGACGTGCCGTATAGTCGACCATCAGTGGAGCCTTACAATTGATGCACTGATCGCGATAGTGGAAAAGTAAACCCACACTTAGAGGCACAGTCGTCTCTGTGTAACCCGGCACATTGCGCCACACAAAATGATTACCCATTTCGATAATGGACTGTGTATTCACAATACATTTGCTGCGCTGGTGTGTCGGCATAACTTCCAAAGTGCGACGCACTTTCATTTGCGAGTAAAGGAAACGGTTATGCGTGTGAGCCGGTAGACTGAAGCTGTCGTTACTGTCGAGATTATAGAAGAACACATTACGAAAGACGTACGCCGAGGTACGTCCCTCATCGCATTGCCGCAGAAAAATCGACAGCGAATTGTGTTTTAATGGTATGAGTATCTCGTCGAGATCAACAGTGGCCGCGTATCGATAGTTGTCCACAACCATGGCGCGATAGACACAGTCGTTGATTTGCGCCATGATGCCCGCGAAATGCACCTGAGTAAGCAGCTCGGCGGGCACATTCCATTGCAGCACATCGACGATGCCTTCGCTTTGGTAGTGTCGTAATAGACGCATTACTTCCTCGCTAGCGGAGAGATGGTAGAAGTAAAAGTGTCGAGCGCCGAGTATGCGATACATTTCAACGAATTCAGCGACGCGCAGCACATCCGAGTAGTTCTGTTGCAGCGGCCCTACGCACACCGAGACCACGGGACGTGACATAGCGAACAATTGGTCCACATCGCGTGGATAGCTGGAAGTAAGGTAATATTATTTACATATATGAAATAGCGATAAACAGCACTTTACCAACCTGATCGGCATAAATGTTGGACTCAGTTGGCTTAGCCTGTTGGAGGGATAAGAAATCGCAACCGATTGTGGCAGATGAATTGCAGTGCTGTTACGATTTACATAGAGTGGGCACATGAAGGAGTAAGCCGCGTACTTGTAGTCATGATGTTCCTTCAACGATTGCACTTTTCCAATTGCTATGCTTTTATCAACGAAATCCTCGAATCTGTGAGAACATTGAATACAATATTTTCGATTTGATTGATTCGCTACTTTGAAATCTTAGAAAATGTAAATACCTAACGGTGCAAGTTATGGCCTCTTTAAATTCTCGTGGTAAAATGGCGATAATACGCAAAGAGCCTATGGGTACCTTCGTGTTGTGGTCGTTTATTGTTTCTGAAATATTTATTGGGTTAGTTACTGGCATATGATTATTACATAAGGTAATGTAGTTTCTTAATACCGTTATATTTTATTAGGTATTAAGATGGTTCTGGATTTCTTAGCTCCATATGTAGAAAATATGTACAATCTATTCGCTCTAACGGTTTTTGTTTTAAAACTATAATATAAAAAAGGGTTCAATGGTTACCCTACGTACTGTTGGACTATAATCTTGATTTTGTATTTATATCAACGGAGACTGTTCCTTTACATTTTTTTCTTTATCCTGCATTAAACTCAATGATGGCTCCAGGTTACCCGACAGCAATGTGGCAAAAATCTATATTTATTTCTGTTTCACGCATTATCGATCAAAACTTTAGTAACCGTTCACCAAGCCACACTCAGAGTTCGAGAGAGTGTTATTGATGAAGCAGATAGCTTATACTTTCATAAATGACTTCTGATTCAAGACTAAGCTTCTCTCCGCATAAATTTCTAATTTAGCCCATATTTTCGATGCCCTTTCCTTTGTTTGAGCTAATATGTAAAAAATTTGGTTACTCACCGAGCACATCCAATCGGTCATCAAAGTATGCTGAGTAAATTAAATGGTTTGCTTTGCTGCCTATTTGTCGCCAAGAGTTATTGTATCCCCATGATGGTTTTATATAAATGTAGGATTGCTGTAGCGAACTTAGATCTTCGCGCAATTTGGAGTCCTGCCAGTACAATGAAAGGAGACGAATATATCAGAATAACATTAATTGAAGCAATGTGAACCAATATTTCATAACTGAGTAATTATTTTATGACTTTTTATACCCTGAAGAGAGTAAATTAGGTTTGCTACGAAGTAAAAATAATATATATAAAAGATTTAATTAGGATTATTGCCCGCGGCTACGTCTCAGATTTCATTTCGCCTGGAAACTGGCGAATGACACGCGTGATGTTGTGCTCCAAGGCCTGAATTGAAGCGGTATTATCTGCATAGACTTTAGATTTTACATATACCTACAGGAAAAATTCATACGGTATGATACGAGTATCACACGATGGCCAATCGACCGGCTCAAAACGTGAAATTATCTGCTCACCGAAGTGTTCTCTCAATAAATCCATTAATTGAACCGATGTGTCGGAAGTGGCACCGTCTTGTTGAAACCAAATGCCATCGTGATCACGAACTTCAATTTCAGGTTAGTACGACGAGATAAAGGTCGTCCCTGAGGATTACGTTCTGATTTTTGAAGAAATATGGACCGATGATTCCAAACTACACCAAACCGTTGTTCTTTCTGGATGAAATGATAGCTGTTGATGTTCTAAAAGGATCTTCTTGGAACTATTCAAGAGCCCGTAGAGCGAAGCGATGTAGTTTCGGAAAGTCGTATGGCTTCAGTTCATGCATAACGTAAATTTTCCAATTCAATAAGACCTCTCTGGTCTATTCGGTCGAATATTATCCAACAATTCAGTATTGGAGGTCTCAAGATGGGTGATATTGTTGTGAATAGTACGCTCAGTATACCGATTATGTTGACCATAAGTTGAGTGTAGCGCACGAAACATATTCTTTACAGCACGTGAATTTTCGTAATAAAGTTTAACGATTTGTAAACGTAGTTCAGGCATAAGTCTTTCCATAATGAAAGACCAAACAATACGGAATGAAAACAACGTCACAGCTACACACTCTCACGAGTGATCTGTCAAAAACACTCTATTGAAAAAATACCTCTGGATCATCCGTTAAATCTGAAATTTTGTGCTTGTTCTTTTTCCATAAGAAGCAGCTCGTCTGTCGGAATCGCTGTTACCAGCACACTATATCATATAGTTGTCATACAAACTGTTTGATTAAAATCAAATCCTGGTAGAACTTTTTATAGGACTTTCATTTGACAAGATATCTTCATGCATTTTGGCGAGGAATATTTTCCAAGATAATGCCACTACCTCCATATACAACTTGTATATTGTTCAGATCGGACTACTATAGGATATAGCGGCCATACGAACGGACCGATCAAAATTATGATAAAGATCATTTATACCTTTTTTATAATGAATATACCTGTGTGAGATATTATAACTTCGGTGCTGCCGAAGTTAACCTTCCATCTTGTTTCTTATGAATTACAAAAGCATTACTAATCAAACATTGTTAGTTGTAGTTAATTCATATTTAATTGCTTGCAAGCTTTAGCTGTCTTTTTCTCTCTTTCGTTTGGCAATGTAATTTTCACATGCATTAGTATATATCTGTGCTCTATATTATTGCTTACGAGTGTTGTGCGCACTGACACATAGGCGAGTATAATGATGGTCAATGCCACTGCGCCCGACAGCAGAAAGTACGCATACTGCGCTTGATTGCCGTTGCCCGACAGCATTTCTTCGCCGATTAACTTATTTCACCTCCATACATTAATAATTATTATTTTTACAAAAGTTCACCACAAAAAAATTATATTATTTGGCAACACTTCACTCAACCGATTTCTTGGCGCGCCTTTGATTTTTGTGGCACAAGCGCCTGTGCATATGCTACGTATCGCGTGCGCCGTTGCTGCTTAACTGGTCGAACGTACGCTTGTTAAGCTTTCTTTTTTCAACTGTCTACTTGTCACTTGCGGTTCTTAAGCAACTTTGTACAGTCCAACAAAAGCAAAGCTGACAGTTTTCTCACGGACGTAACTATTTAATTATCGCTGGCTTTCTTGGCTCAATGCGTTTGTGTTTGTTGTGTGTTTAGGCTCGATGTATTTTGCTTTTGATGTGATTACTCGTGTTGGTGCTTCAGACAATGTTTTTTTAATAATTCATGTGTGTGCTTTTTTTGCTATCTCTGCGACTAATTTATTGATTATTATTGTCGTTATAACCAATAGAAGTATATTGGTTTATGTGGTAGGGTGGTTCCTATCACTACGGATGCGAAGTATTTAATTCAGTATTTATATTCTGAGGTTTTTACTAACTATA